TATATATATATAATGTATTTCACTCTCAAATGAAACATATAAATATTAATTTTTATTTTGTTCATAATAAGAGTCAACATAATAAGCTATGCATCTCTCATGTCTTATCTTTTTTTATTTCAAATGAGAGCATCATCTAACGTGATATATCAGGAAGAACAATATCGAGAAGTATAAATTCATGGACTTATGAATGAAAATTTAAATTAGCCGATTTCTTCTTCCCCTTCTTCCTGGGGGCTGTGGTGCACTGCTATGAATTAATCCTGTGGGCTGTAGTGCACTGCTCCGAGTTAAAAGTGGAGACCGAAGGCAACCGCAGAGGACCACCACGAATAGAAATGGAAGAAGCTTCCATCGGCACTGAAGAGAGCAACAGCGCACGAACGCACGCACGCACGCAAGCTTTCCTAAAACGAGAAGCCGGAGATGATCATCCTCCATGTGCAGAGAGTGCACAGTCCATTGATGCTGCCATCTCTCTTTTCTTTCCGCAACACGTTGAGCTCCCGTAAACAGAGAGCGGAGTTACATCTCGGAGAACTTTTGTGGCCCTTTCTGAACAAGGCAGCTTCCTTCACGGATCTCACCAACAGAGACGTAGACGACGCACATCCCGATGCGTGGGAGCGGATGTACGTTTTGACATGCACTTGTTTGCATTGTCATGTCTTGCGGTGCTCGACACGATGCGTGTCCTCATCCTATATATAGTTTGTCCCCACCAAACCAATTACCTGCTCGTCTCTCTCCAATTCACCATGTCTTCTCCGGTGCAGAACAGCACCGCCACCACTCTTTCTCCTCCTCCTCTCCCCCCACCACCTCCGCCGCCTAACAATTGGGGGCCGTACTCTGGCGCCAAGGACTTCGACGCCAACATGGTTAGCATCCTCGTCGTGCTCGTGTGCGCGGCGGCGCTCACCTTCGCCCTCCACGCCGCCTTCCGCCTCCTGCGCCGCCGCTGCCTCCCCCGGTCTGCCGCCCAAGCGGACAAGCCCGGGACGGCAACGGCCGCACCGCAGCAGCTCCTCCCGGGGCCCGTGGTGTTCTCCGTGAGGGCGACTGCGGTGGCGGGCGCGCCGGAGTGCGCCATCTGCCTTGCGGAGCTGGTGGAGGGCGACCGCGTCCACGTTCTGCCGGCCTGCAACCACGGGTTCCACGCGCAGTGCGTCGAGACGTGGTTCGTCGGCCGCTCCTCCTGCCCCACCTGCCGGACCGAGTGCCGTCCGCCGCCGCCGCCGGAACCGTGAGATGGCCACACATGCACCGATCGAGATCGGGCATGCAGTAGCTTTTATGTATCACGACCGAGTGCTCCATCAATTAGAAGGAGTTTTATATGATGTTTAATGTAATCGGCGTTTAGCATGGAAACCAACTCTGAAATGAATCATAAACAGCATCATCATCATCATCATCATCTCTTCTCTCCTGCAGCATCAAACCACACAGGCACTTTTCCAGGCAGGGGGGGGGGAGGTCAGTGGGGACGCAGCGAGGAATTCATGAAGGATGGAGGAAGGCATCAACTTTTTGTGATCTTTTACTGCAAGTCAACTCTTTTGGGCCTTTGGATGGTGGGAAAAGGTTTCCGCATGCTCCCCCATCAAACCAACTCTGGTTCTTGATATAGCCAAAAGCAGACTAAAGAGAAGGAGAAGACACCATGTGAGGCCAGTTCGACATCTCAGTCACCTACATTGCCACTCTCCCATGGAAAGATAGTGGCTATTAATTGTGACTGTAAAGCGTGCATGTCGGTGATCATCTTTCTTCAACCCATCGACGCACCAAACTCGAAACCTCGTGTTGCTTTCTCGGTTGATCAGCTAATGGGAAGAACAATTCCTCTAATCACACACATTATTCTCCTCCTCAGCTTTTATCTAATATTCATGTCAATCTAGATATTTCAAGGGCCATGAGGGTATAAGATCCAAAATCACCCTATTTGTATATCCTCAATGTGTATTTTGTTTAATGATAATATGATGCTTGTAATAATAATAAAAAAACAACTCATTAAAAATAAATATATAATTTTACTCATAAACATCTTATTGACATCTTCCAACTTGACCAATCAAAAAATTAATGTTAGAAAATCTTAAAAGAAAAATCAATCAAGGAGAGGCATTTTCCACTTAAGCACTTTGGTGCTATGATTTGATTACTTATGAAACAAACATTCAATAAGCTCATAATCAACATAGCTTCCCCCATTTACTCACAAAGGGAATGCTGAAATTTAGTCTACTAAATGTGCTCTACATGCTAAAAGAATGCATTCATGTCCCATTAAAAGTGGGAGTTTATGAACTAATATGGTTGTAGCTAAGTATGCTTTTTGTTTCTCTTTGCAACATTCCTAATAATAATAATAAAAAGAAAGGTTAGGAGTTGGTGATTATTTCTTCGTGCTATGAACAACCATGCTAGTGGATTTACTCATATCATAGCCTCTAGTGCTCCCATTAACATTTTTTTTTTGTTGGATAGTTGACTTTTTGATGTTCCACGTCTTTAAAACTCACATTTTTCAAAATGAGATCTTCTCTTGATCTTTATAATTTTATTTTGTATGGTAATTATAATTTATATTTATTACAACATGCTTTTGGTAAAATCCTTTCCAAAAGATATCCAATTTGGCATTGTCTCTCTTTCCTTGTAATAATAGTATTTATTTGGTAATATGATAAGAAAGAATAACCATCAACTAAGGTATTTTGTTCACTAAGAATTGTGGTTATGTCGCTACATCTAATCTTTGGCATGAATTTTGATAGATTCTTACTACTCTTAGAGTGGCCCTTTTGTTAATGGAAACTTATTCTTATTTTGTCTGTGGAGATAATTTAGATATTATTCAATTATTTCTTTGATATGAGAATGACTTTTAACCTCAATGAAAAAGAGATTATTTGATTAAGAAATAGAGGATTAGCATAGTAAATAAGTGTCCAATATATATATATTTATATAATTTAAATTTACTCGTTGTGTCGATAGTGGATCATCGAGCCTAACATGCAAAAATAGAGGACCAGCGGAAGAAGAATCTACCACTTTCTTGACATTGGGGTTTGGTTTAGGGATAATAATGCCAAAGAATTTTGGATATCGAACAGTAAATTGGGATCAAATGACATTAAATCCGCACACTAATTAAGGAGACAAATTTCATTATCCGGTCTTATAGATAATCGGATTCGAGTTGGAAACCGTCTGCTTGAATCCGACCCGATAACACGACTCACACACTAATCAATCATTCCATGCATTGCCAATCAAACAATAGATTAGACTCCAAATCAGTCTTCCCCTCCTCTCATCTCCGTTCCTTTATATTCAGCTAAATTAATATGGTTTCCAACATATTATACGCACATGTATAAATCACGTACACGACGCTTCCACCCGATTCCCATTCCCCCATCATCCTCATCTCCTTCTCTCTTCTTCTTCTCTTCCTCCTGTTGCTAGTATTGCTATAATTATGCGGTCCTCCTGGCGCCGCCCCCCCGCGGCTGCGCCGTTACCCGATGACCGAATCTTGACCGCCGGCCCCCTCCCGGATGACCTAATCTTGGCCTGAAACGCCGTCGCCCTTCCCTCTTCATGGCGTCGCCGTCCGAATCCGATCGGAAGATCATCACCAGGTTCCTCCACAAAACCCTCCACGCCGTCGTCGCCTCCCGCGTCCCCCGCCTCCACCACGCCGCCGCCGCCGGCCCCGCCTCCCCCAAAAACGACCGGTGGTTCCACCTCGCCCTCGATGACCACCCCTCTCCCGCCGATCACCATGGCGCCGTCGTGGACCCCTTGGTCTTCGACATCCTCCTCACCCGGCGCGGCTGCTCCGATGTCATCGTCGAGCGCTGGACAGCTCGGTGCGTCCCCCCGGTCCCCTGGTCCGCCGCGTCCCCGCACCACCCCCACGATGGCTCGTTCCTCCGCAGGACCTATAAGAAGTGCACAATTCTGCTCAGATCCATCTACACGCTGCTCCGGCTCCTCCCGGTGCACCGGATCTTCCGCCTGCTGTGCTCCTCCAGTCAACCTTACAACTATGACCTCTGCCACAAGGTCTTATCCTTTGCGGCGCCCTTCTCCAGGGCGCAAGAGGCGGAGTTGAAACAATACAGCTTCGCGCCGGTGGAAACCATGTTAGGCCACCTCGTCGTGTCGGTGCAGTACCGGCCGAGCCTCACCAACTTCAATCTAGAGGTCTCCTTGCCGACACCGCCGCTGATCATCACGGATTACGTCGGTAGCCCGGCTGCCGATCCCATGAGACCTTTCCCTTCTTCCCTGCCCGATCGGATGTCCCACCCGATCGTGTATCAGTACCCGCCGAGAGGCATCCGGACGTTGGCGGCTCCATCATTCGACCGCCCGCATAGCTGGAACAGTGCGTCGATGGTGCACCATCATCTGAGCTCGGCTCCTGGGCCTCCGGATTCTGAACTACTGCCTGGGCATTATGGGCATCTGGTGCCAAACCAGCGGTCATCGATGGAGAGGAAGGGAAGTTCAGGTTTTGGCGAGTTTAAGCTCTCCCCACCGTGCTCGACGTCGCCCTCCCCTTCTCCTCCAACACGTGTTGGTAATTCCCAGCTGTCTAGACTGCATTCGGAGACATCACCAGTGAGCATACCATTGCCAGCGACAGAGAACAACCAGATGCACCGCAGTCCCAACTTCTCAGATCCATTCAAGAGCCTTTTCCCTCCTCCATCTCCAAGGAGCACAAGGACGGATCTCTCTTTTCGGGAGTCTCCTTCTAAGAGTATATCCTTCAGAAAACCTGACGGGTTTAGCCTAGGAGATATCCACTCAAACTTGCATATGCATGCTGCTTATAAGGTACATGCTAGCTTCAAATGTTTTACATTGTTTCTATGACGTGTTTTTCAAATTTAATGGAAGTTTATTACCTGAAGTTGCTGAATCTCTCTCTTTAGATTATGCACAGAAAGATGCTTGAAATTTTAGCGACCGCTAATGGAGGGTTCTCTCGATTTTCTATTATTTAGATGCTATAAATTGTCAAACAATAAAACCAAGAAGATAAGGCACTCCCTTCTATTATTTCTTTCTCATTCAGAATGGTAAAACATGGAGCAGTGTTTGTTCAAGTTCAATTTAGGAAATAATTATAGTTTTGCTTTGTTGAATTGCATGGAAATGGGTTAGAAATTCAGACTTCATAGAATTTCTGAAGCAATTGTTGTCCGCTGACAATTATTCATACTCTAAGGTCAATAGGTTTGAATGATGTTGATATTACAGTGCAAGGGGACTCCTAAGTTGGTATAAATACTAGGGTGTTCCTATCCTTGACCCTAAATCTTGGAATTGGCTATTATGATGTATGTAATGGTGGAGTTAGCTGATGCTATTCCAGGAATGGGTGCTACCGCTCCTTCCTAGCCTCTAATTAGCTTTTTAGAACAATCAATTTCTTTCGTTCCAAGTCTAACATTTCTTGAGCCTTCTATGCCTTCTTGAGGAAATTGTATGTTATCAGGACTGGCAAATTTATTGGGAATCGACTGAGAGATCACTACCTATTCCAGGAATAGGTGCCACTGCTACCTACCTTTCTGGTTTCTAATTTATTGGGCATTGACTGAGAGATCACAACCTATTCCAAGAATGGGTGCTGCTGCTCCTTCCTAGCTTCTAATTAGCTTTTTAGAACAATCAATTTCTTTCGTTCCGAGTCTAATGTTTCTTGAGCCTTCTACCCCTTGAGGAAATTGTATGTTACCAGGACTGGCAAATTTATTGGGCATTTACTGAGAGATCACTACCTATTCCAGGAATAGGTGCTACTGCTACCTTTCTAGTTTCTAATTAGAACGATCAATTTCATTCAATCTAAGTCTAACATTTCTACAAAAGTTTCCACCTATTCTTTAGGAAATTGTATGTTATCGGAACTGGCAATTTTATTGAGCCTTGACCGAGAGATCACTGACTGATTGCCGCCTGAAGGATATAAGATCATACTTAAGCAGCGCTTTCCTAGTCAATCAATAATACTTCTCAAAGTGTTCTTGTAACTTCTAAAGTTGAAGAGAGTTGTGAGATACTTGTGCTGGTCCAAGGTACCCAAAACAATTTTTAGAAATGAATTTTACATTGGAGGCACCATTTAATATCATGTTCTAATTTGACTTTCACCACATTATATGCTACAATAAATCATGTTACTGAGATTCAGTTTTATCATTGTAATGTATGGCATTTACCAGATTAAACGACTTCTACCATGGGCCTAATGTTTACATTATATTGCAAATATGTATACCATATGCTGGCACACAATGACTCAATTCCTCTCCTCCTTTTTAGCCAAAACCATCAACTTTGGGCAAAGGCCAAAATACAACGAACAGAGGAACATAAGAAAGATTGATTTGACCATAATTTACCTCATTGATTCCTTCTACGAGCATAAGATCTTGACCATAATTTTTTAGTATCTAGCTGGCGGATCACATGATGTTGTTGTTTGATAGCAGTATTCTCTTTGAGGATTAAATGATAGGATGACTGGGGGCTGAGATTGTGGGGTTCCATTATGTCATGGATGAGGAACTTATAGAGCTAAAGGCAAATACATCTTGAATCTCAATATTTGTGTCTGTATGCATATTTTATTCGTGGAAGCCATGTCTTTACACTAGAATCATCTTTTATCTTATAGCTTTTAACAAGTCCTAGGTATCTGTTATTTTATATCACATCTTTTACTAAAACTTTCGGTACAACGGTGCACAATTGCACAGAAAATTGTACTATGCTTTAGTATGTCTTTATCAAGCTCATCAAGATATACACAGATTCTCTCAGATTGCTTGATGAAAGCTATGTGATCTAGATATGAATTTATTTCAGCAGCAGATATACCATTGGGCAGGATTAGTTGTAGTGGCAATGCTTTTGTCAGCAAAAGGTTCTACCTGAAAACCATCATTTTGGTGCAATATTTTAAGCTCTATATGAAATTGATAGAGAAAGATTCAAAATACCCCAGGAAATTGCATGGATACAATGATACATGTCTATTGTGCATAAACTGAGAGCAGTAAGGTGATAGTTTGATATAAAATATCTATTATCTCAGTAGAATCAGAGGCTATCGACCCAACTTCCTATAACAATTTAGCAGACTAACATTTAGAACATCCCTAACAAAAGATGCATCTTTTGTCTTTGATAGCCAAATTTTCCTATTGTGACTTGAGCATTACCCCAAATTTGTTGACTACCTTACTATAAATGGGCTTGTAATTGTTACTCCTTGAAGATTCTGGTCTGTATTATTTTGTACCCTCGTAAATTTGATTGAATGTACTCAGCCTAGAATTACTTGAGTTTGATAGTTTGTGAAGTTTAAATATTTATTTATTTTAAATTTGTTTGTCTCCTTTTAGGTAATCAAGGATGGTCGGGATGATTCTGGAAGGTTCTCTGCTTTGTCTTCTGGTGGCTCGCCTGGGTATGGTTTTTCAAGTTCAAGCCGACAGTCAATTCAGGATGATCTTGATGATGAAGATTTCTCTTATCCGTTTGCTTTTGACGATGTTGACACATCAGATTCTCAAACAAGGTACATCTCTATTGTTGTTTCTGATTTGTTTGTTGTGGTGATTTAGCCTATCTGAAGTAGACAGATTATGAGTCATTTTATTGACTGTTGCATCCTAATAGACTAACTTTTCCTTATCTTTTGATTTGATGCCCATAGCAAATATAAACTGGTGAAAATGTTCTCTATAGATTGATTGGGATGTTGCAGGGATACTGCATCATCATGAAATTATTAAAAGGGAGAAAAAAAGTTGTTCTGCTGTATCAGAGGGCTAGTAGTTTTGGTTTTCAAAAAAACTCAATCTAACACAAGACCGATAGAATATATAGAACTAGAGTCATCTGATATTTAGTTTTAGTATCAGCTGTTCTGAGCTTTTATGGGAGGCAGAATGTTGTATCCGTTTACTAGGTTCTTTCCAATTTTGCTTCCTTAATGATTCAAGAAGATTTTGAACTAGATATTTCTACGATGGTACCTTCTCATACAATACCTATAATGCTATGAATTTTTGAAATTGGTTGACTTTAGAGTTATATATTTATGTAGAAGTTCTTATTAGCTGTTTTGGCCTATTTGTTGAAAGAGCGATTGATTTGGTCAGTTGAACCACTGAGAAATTTCTGCTCAACGTTTTAGATTTAACACTGTGGAATCCTCAGTCCAATTTTGTGATATGAGGCACAAAAAGTGTTGCAGTTGACTCTCTTTTCCTTCTGCGCAACTTCTGCTGATTATAGTTAGATATGCAGAAGAAATAATATGCAAAATTAGCAACATATTTTTTAATCAAATGTTAATGATTCTTTACTGATAATTAATCTATTTTGTACACAATAAAAACTGAAGTTAGTGAACAAAAATATGCTATTATTAATGGTTCAGTGTGACCTTATTTAGGCTACCAATTTGTTGATGTGCAGTTGCACCAATGGGGGATCAAACTCAGAAGGGGAGAGGCATCCCTTCTGGCTGGGTTATGTGGGATTGTAGATGGCTTCTAAGTTGTTACCTTTGCTTTTTCTGCCATATGATTTTTGTCCCATACTATTAACGTCTTCTTATGGAATTTCACTATATTCCCTCTTCCATCCAGAAGTTGATAATTATGCGAATATTCATTCGGTGGGTTAGGTTCTATGTTTAAACCAATGTCTGTGAGACAGTGAACTGTTTCTTGATAGTTACAACTTACAATATGATCCCTACCTTCTGAAACCTGCCTTGGAGCTTAAGTTCTTTCTGCATAACATGAAAAGAAGTTGACATGGAGTTAGAAATTTAACTTGGGTGTGTAACATACTGTGCAAATTGGAAAGCTTTGAGCTTGTTTAATGAGAGCAAAATCAAGTCTGGAACTTTAGTGAAGAAATTTTTTTTAGTATTATGTAATGCTGTCTCTCCACCTCTGCAGTACTTTGTGCATTTTGATACGAGCATACTTGTGTGATTATATATATCTGAGGATGATTAGTGGTTGCCAGATGCCAAATTAGTAGATAAAGGGAACACATAGCTGAACTGTGCAAATAATCATATGGGAATGTGCAAATATCCATTAGATTATTGAATGCAGGTCCAGGGCAGATGACGAAACTGTACGATGAATCATGTAGGAATGTTGCAAATATCCATTAGATCATTTGAACTAGAGTGCTGCATATAGTTTCTTGAACCCGATTAAGAGACCTAGAAATCACTGATACCTTGAATCACCCATTTGACATCATGGAAATGAATAGGAGAGGCAAGACACGTGGTGTTTAAAAACCTTGGCTATATATAACTCAAGGGCTGGGAGGGGAATGTAGACAAACAAGGACCTACCGAATGCAGTGCGCCAAAGTCACTACAAGTTGGAATACTTTTCATAATTTAACCAGCCACTTTGTCGAATAGAGTTGTTGCACAGGCTGATGAATCCGCATGTTTGTATCTACTGTCTATGGCGTGTCTGTATTATAATTTCAATAGAGAGATATATTTTTCGTGCATTAACTTGTTAATTATTTTTTACATTTATCGAAACTTGAGTAATTAAATTTGATCTAGCATTGGAGAACTTGGTGGCAATTCATAATCAATGACAATATTACATTTGCCTTGAGTGGATGGATAGACGGCCTGTCATCTTCTTGCGTCTTATGTCTTGTAGATTTAGCAGAAAACTGATACAAGATCTATGTGTTCTTTATGCGTTAGGCAAGAATCTTCAGGTGGTTGTACATTTGATCCTTGCCATTACTTCCGTTCATGTTTGATCCTTGCTACTATCTCATATGCTGACCTTTGCTCTATGGCTTTGTGTGCAATATTTCTACTTGCTGATAATCCAGTTTTTATAAAAGTTCATTTTCTTTTCACTGACAGGAGTCTTGATGGTAAGGAAGCATCAGAAAATTCTGGTTCTCATAAATCACAAGAGGCAGCTGTTGGCATTCTCGTCCACATGTTGAAAACCGCAGCACCACTGCGCCAAGATCAGAGTTGCTCGATGCAGTCTTTGGAACCAAATGGAGAAGCTAGCATTAGCAGTTCTGTGATGTCGAGGAAAGCATGTGATGCGTTGGAGGAGCTCCAAAGCTACAAGGAGATGAAAAACTTGCTACTTTCTAAGAGTGGAGCTAAATTACAGGACTCTGTAAAACAAAGAAAAGAGAGTAGTGAAGCCTTATCCTAAACTAAGATCGATAGACAAACAGTTGCTGATCATACATAGGTGCAAAGTTGCAGGCACAGTGATCATCATCAGAGGCTCCAACCTTGTACATAACAGTCGAGTCTCGGTTGCCTTGCCTTCTTAATGGAATCACAGGCTTGCATCAGATATCTCCTAGAGACTCTTCCTTCCTCTCACATAACAGAAGATTATTCTCTATCTGTAAATAGACCGTCTCATGCCGAATGGTATGTGTTCATTTGTGTAACTTAAAAAAACTTCCAGTTTGTCATCACCATCATACCTACCTAACCCAGCGAGCATACTTGCTTCATAATGTTCCCGTTGCTGAAACTTGTGGCAGGAAGTGTGTATGTGTGTGTGTGTTATATATTATAGCAAACCGTATGATTGCTTGAGAATACTGATGTGTTCCATTGTGATGGCTGATAGTGGTGGTTACCTGTTGGCATGGTCTTTCCCTTGCTGTTCCTTTATTTCGATTGCTAGAATTTTTGTTCTCGTAGTGCTTGCTATGTTTGCCGATGCCGATGGGTGAAATCAGTTCAGCTCGTGTATGAGCATTCCTCGGTATTCTCTTCTTCTATAACAATGCTAGTACAACAAAAAAACGTTACATATTGTAACGTGCCATACTGTAATAATTCATCGTGTGCATATTCTCCTATAAATGCTATACCATGTTATACCAATCACACGATGCCATACCATGTCATCTCCGACTGTCTGTCTGTCGGTACCATACCCTACATAAATCTTTTTGTACTTAAATAACGAGTTCTGTGGCTTTGGTGTGTTATGTTTCACCGCCATCAATCACTCTACGCATATTGAATCAGTTGTTTGTACATTAGCTGATTCCGCAGCCACATTTTCTCCCCGAACGAGTGGTGTTTTTTCCTGGACAAAAAAAATCATGTGGTCCGTCAGACAAACGAAACACGATAGACGGGAAGGAAACATTGAACCCGAAAAGTCCACGAGGGTAGGAAAAGTATTTAACTCTATTTAGTGATATATTTTGATTTTGTGTTTAGGTTGCAGACTTTGAACATCACCTGAAGATGGGATTAATCTCAAGCCAGACATGACTTGAAAACCAATTCAGATGATCAACAAGGAAAAGAAACAGAGTAAGTTGTTTCAGCTCCTGAATTCCACGAAACAAATAAGTAGCCGTAGTCTAGTCGTTACGAGTTTACCTTTCATTTGATCAGAACAATCTGGAGGAGGTGAAGGCCACTTGCAGGAGTGCCGCCTTACACCACCCAACGAAGAAGAATTCAGCCTTTGCACACATGGGGTGGGTGACTTAGCAGCCAAGCCAAGCAAAGATGACAACGAACAACATAGAATCATCATAATGCTGCTAGGAAAGAAACCAGATCAGATCACTGCAGCATTGACCACCACATCGGAATAGGGTTTAGGGGGGTTTATACAGGTTGACTTGCAGGCACCTGCCCAAGAAAACAAACACAAAGCAATTGGAGAAATACTTAAAACACTTGTATGGATTAAACTGGCCATGTATCAACAAAGAAAATGCAATAGGTTTTAGCAAATTTCCGAGCCAAAAAACAAAAAAAACGAAAGTATTGCTACAAGTTACTGCTAGAAAAACCAATAATTATTATGTTTTGCCCTACCCTGATTCTGTCTGGTACAAGATGAGATGTAAGTCACAACAAAACTTTACAACTGGATTAGTTCCAGCCACTGAATCCAATGATCCAGCGGAGTTGCAGACCGACAATTTGACCCCAGACCAAAAGGTTTATAACCAAAATAAAGTAAAATAAAATCCCCCCTTTCTACAACAAAAGGAAAAATATTATGGCAATACCTCAACTAAGGGACCTAAAGCGGGAGCCCCAAGGAATTTGACATCGGATGCTTATACCAAACACAATGAGTTCACCTTTGTTCTGCCAGCCCATGCGCTTAACGGCCCTCCATTGTTCTCTATACATAAAGATTTGCTGGGGCTAAAAAATTCTATTCTAAATGAACAACAATAAATTAAAAAAAGAAAAAGAAAAACAGATGGTACAGCTTAAGATCTCATAGTAATCCTGCAAGCATAGCACCAGGATCATTATATGCTACAGGTGTAACCGGTGATTGTGGTTGTGATGGTGCCACAACTGCAGATGATGTTTGGGTGGGGATGTTGACCAAATATTCCTTGATACTCTCCTTTAACCTATTAAATGAAATACCAATCTTAGACCACTAAATTGAGACCAAAGCAGGCAAAACATGAGAGACATACTCAAACGTTAATGTTGGATCCCCTGATGCTATAGTTATCCGAAGCTGGGTTCTGTCTGATGGATCTGTTTCAACTCTAATCTGAAAAATGTAAAAAACTAAAATCAGACCAAACAGTGAATGTATGGAATATGAAATAAGTAGAGCAACGAAACTAAGGTATAAACAGCTAAGAACATGGATTTGACCTCTAAATAGAAAAGAAAATTAAATATTAAAAGAAAATGAAGGAAAGAGCCAGATTTAGATGAAGTCTGCCAATTAAATCAGCTTGAGAAACAAAAGTAATAGTAATGGAGTTTTAATATTCTGTTCAACTTTATATAATTGGAAGATAAGAGGCATGATAACATCAGATGGGGCTTCTCAGAGAATCATGGGTCTGACCGGAATGCAGTGATGAGGCAAATAGACTGAATAGTTGTTTCTGAACTTTTGGATGTTCTACTTCTAAAAAGTTTCAGATATTATGGAGCATCGCCAGTAATAATAATACAGAATTAATCAAAGAGACTTTCAGCTTCCCAGCATTTGTTTTATGAACAAAAAAAGAAGAGACAACAAGTAATAAAATATCAATCTGAATGGTATTATTTCCAGAGCTAGGTTAAGGTCTCCTGTTATTAATTTAGTGTCGCAAAGAAGTTGATTTAGAGCAACAAAGGTGGATGGAAAAGTGAAGCGACAGAAAGCCAAAAGACAAGAATACATAAGAAACATTATTGCAACGTATATTATCAGGCCTCGAAAAGGTAGACTGAGTTAGACAATGGCAAAATACAAAGACTAACATGTCCGTAACATGACACATACAACAAACAGCAGCTCACCGCAAGAAACTGTTAAATGGCCTTAGACAAAACTGTAAGAACTAGATAATCTCAAAGCAAAAATTTTCCGTATAAAGTATTTGATTCAAATTTACTGCAACCAAAGGAGCAGACTTCACACTCATGCATAGAGCTTTGTTCAAAAAATGACATGGGTTCCAATATTAACAAAACAAAAAACCATCATCCTTACCAAGCAAAGCGTGGCCCTGGTGCTCTCTGAATAGAAGGTAGTGCAGGCGATCAGATTATTTGGATTTGTATCCTGAAGAGGGAGGCAACAAAATTTTATTATCTTGAATATACAAATGAAATTGAAGATACAAAAGAAAGGAGACAACTTACAATTCCAGGGTTGACTGCCAAATGAAGGCTGGTAAACAAGTTTGCCATTTCAGGAAGAGATAAAGGTTTTACACCTCTAAGCTGCACAAAAGCTCCAAAGATTTTCATCATAGTACACGTATCTAACAACCGCCATCTCAATGTATAATTTAGAAAGAAGGGAAAGAGAAAAATCACATAAAAAATCTTGCATGAAACGGAAGTCACTAATCTTTCCTGCCTCAATTGCTTGGTTTTGCTATCAGAAAAGTTTATAATCTACTGAGGACTCACTTCAAACGGTACTATCATGCTTGACAATCTGATAAAAGCTAATGAGGCAATATATCAGAAGCTAATAACCATCCGTGTACAGAAAAGCATTTCATATAAATCAATCAGGCCAGGCACATCAGTGGCCATTATTAAATACCAAGGAACAATGATCTTTGTCACAAATCACAATCATAATATGGATCAGTAATGTGCTAGATTAATAATAATGGCATTATCATTTTGGTAGTAAGGATTGATCAAACTTGAAACTTAATATATGTTTACATTTCCGCATGTAAGGTGATTGATGCGTTTTGCTTTGATTAGTTTTCTTTAACAGATGTTTCAGTTGATTGTCAGTTAAACAAAATGACTGCCTATACAATAAGCAATTTCATAAATCAAGATACTGTATCATCAAACCTTTACAAAACTTTGCATATAAATGATTTCATTCCATAGTCTGCAAAAGTTCAGAATGGCTTAACCAGAGTTATCAGAAACTTCATAGTCGACAAATTGGGACCCTTGCTCAAGTGGTATGATCAGTTAATATTTAGCCAAATTAGGAACCTTTTTAAATTCAAGAACTAACATGATTATCTTTTACACCATACTAGTGATCCTTACCAGCATTTACACCTCACTTTCTTTTCAGATTACTTGGCTTTGTAAGATTAAAGTTTGTTCTTGAGGACTTCTTGGCCCTCATAATTGCATATTAACATAAAGTCATCATAAGTCAGAATGGAAAAGAGTCTAACTATACAAAGATATCTCCCACCCGGTTTTAGATGGAATAATTTAAATGCAAAGAGGGCCATGTAAATTCTAAAGTTGTCTGCTCTGTTAGTTCCTCTCTCTCTCTCTCTTTCTCTTTCCCATTGTACATCCATTAGTTCCTCAGCTTTCTTCCATCTTTTTCTTATATCCATTAGCTAGCCCTCTTCCATATTTCTTTCTTTTTTCCTTTTCTAAATATCTGTCTTTGCAAAACTTTTCTATATCACATAGGTCTTGGCTGCCCATTCAGATTGCTGAATGTATGTATTTATCTTTCTTATCACGACCTTGGTATAATAACTTTATAAATTCAGGTATTCACCTAGATCTAATAGTGACTGATAAAGGCGACTCACTTTGTTTGAGGTTAACCACAAGCATCTTTATTCACTATCTATTACACAAATTACAAAATATCACCCTGTTTCCTGTGGCTGGACAGCATGGTGCTACCAGTGAAGTCCATGTAATGCAGCACAGTACTGCAAACTTGCTGTTTATGCATCATTGGCATGGTACATGATGAGTACTTACATCCTGTACTTGTAACATGCCAGCAACATGGCGTAGGATGCATGCACAATCATTGATTTCTGTCAAGTACTTATGTCAAACAGAATGAAGTATGAGCATGCACCCATGTCAGATAATTAGTGAAGTCTTGATTTGGCATTTGTGTACCCAACCACGAGCATGCATGTCAAGATGAGCACCTTACAGTAAAATTGGGTCACAAAGAATTAATACAATTTCAAGTGCAAGCATACCACTTCTTGAAGTTTCAAAGGTGGTCCTGACAATGATTTCCACTGGGCAAAAAATTCTTCAGCAGTGACTGAAATAGGTTGCAAAAATTTGTTTATCACAGCCGGAAGTCGTAGTTTGACATAAACCTGAAATGAAAATTAGAAATGGGT